AGGCTATAGTGAAGGAATAGTTGAAGACAGGAATGAGAGGACAAATGAAACAAGCTCCTTCAGGTGGGAAAGGGGCTGAGCCACAAGGAGAAGGGGTGAACATTAGGCTTACGGCTTTTCCACTCTGACAGGGTTAAGATGCACGGAAAATGATTTCATGACAAAGGTGAGAGGGAAGGTGAATAGTTGAAGTGGTTATCACCTAAAGGCTTCAGTTTTCTTTATTAGGTAAGGAAGGCTGTCTTCTGAGATGGAGGGGGAAAGTGGCGTGGTAGAGAATAGGAGAATAAAAGTGATAGCAAATAGTCTTGGAAAACTAGGTCCCAGATGCCATCCCTTCCTGCCTGGACTGCTATAATTGCCTCCCACCTGATCTCTCACCCATCTGGTTCCCCTCATAATCTAGGGATAAGTGATTCTTCTCATATATAAATGGCATTATGACACTGTGTGATTTAAAGCCATTCAATGTCTTTTCATCACTTTCCAGATAAGATTTAAAATTCTTTGCACAGATTTTAAAGCCATGAACTGCTGCCCGCTGCCACACCACTCTGTCTTGGAGCCAGCTGAGAATGAAACCTCTACAAACTGTGAGCTAAATAAACTTTTCCCCCTTTAACTTCGGGTGTTGGGTAGTTTCTCCCAGCAAGGAGAAAGTTAAGACACTCCCTACGCTCCAGCCACCAGATATTCTCTGAATATCTAGAAAGTACAGTGCTTCCACCCTCAGAATCTTGGGTGTGTCATCTTACTGGGTTTGAAACTCTTCTCTCTTCCTCACCTGACTTTGCCTTCTCAAACTTTTCAGGTCTTATTTCAAAATTCTATGAGAAGTCTCTTATGACTTCCCAGACTATTTCAGATTTCCCTTTTACACTTGCTCACAGGACTTTGTATTAAACCTTCAGGCTTTGTCACAATCATAACTGAAAACTCACTTACGACAGTACTTGCTTAATGTACTTCTCTCAAGAGTCTAAGTATTATGAGAGAATTATATCGGTTCCCTGTAACTAATACAACCCCAGTTCCTCCAATTAATACACACTGAGTGCTGAAAAAATGGGAGAGAAAGATATGCACAAGAGGACTGCTACGGAATACTGAGAAAAGTATGGACAACAAAGACTCAGAGCAGAAGTGCCACCTGTCATGGACTTTTCCTCAGCTGCGACCACCAATCTAGGGCACAAAGGTAGGCAGTTCCGACATACTTTAAAAAAAAAAAATCAGTAAGCTAAGAAGTTTACAGTATATGCCTCAAATGACCCATATGACTTAAAAGAATAGGGGTTGTGATTTTTTCTTTTTCTATATTTTTAGGCCTGAACAATGCCTTATAAAGAGCACATACTCAGTAAGTATTTGCTGAATGAGAATTATCACACACTGGAGTATTATGACACAGTATTTAGGGAAAAAGCTATGAATCCACTTTAAAAATGTTTGTGAATCCACTTTAAATATCTAGTTGCGTTAATTTTACTCTGTTAGAGCAAACTTAACATCTTCAGACTGGGTCACTGACACCCATACCACACTTTTCTAATGAAAATATGCGCTTTCGCATAATGGTAACTGGCTGTGTGTGTCAGTAGCTGCACTGGTGGAAGACAGCATGCAATCTTTGTGTTTACCCACCTGATACAACCAGTGACAAAGTGTGTACACATGCATCAAAATATAATAGTTGAGTTTTACTCATATTACACACCATGTTACATTGGGGCGGTACCAAGAATTGAACTCATGGCCTCATGCTTGCCAGGTGGGTACTGGGCCACTGAGCTACATCCCTGGCCCTGTGTTACATTTTTAAAAATTAAATGTATTCTTTTGATTTTTCTTGTAGAATTCAGTACAGTGCTGCATGAAAATCTGCTCTTACAAACTTTGGGCTACTGATAGTGACTTGGATCATGCAAGCTAAAGAAGTCACCAATATATGATAGATAGAGATATGACAGATAAAGAAGTATAGAACAAAGACCTTGATTCAGATGAGGAAGAACACAGTAAAGTAAATAAATATTCAACTAGTCAAAATGCTACAAAATGGTCATGCATACCTGCCTGATCCAATGTTAGAACTAGGTCAGTAAAGATTCTTAGGTTCTTGCCAGGGGTGAAACCTATTGGATGGAAGCCAATACTGCAATTCAATGTTGGAAATTGTTTGTAATAGATGATATGCTACAAGATGTTTTGAAATGCACTAATAATGAAATACAAGTAAAACATTCTATACGTATCAATGGTAATACTCAAGAATGTACTTATCAGGACACTTCACTATCTGAACTAAAAGCCTTCATAGCAGGACTTTATCATTCTAATCATAAGAATCTAAAAGATTGATAGAGAAATGACAGATATGGCATTGAATTTTTAGAAAAATAATGACACTCAAGAGATTTGCTTTCCTTCAAAATTACCTATGTTTTGATGACATAAGGATCCACCAAAGAAGAAAAATATTCAACAACGTGGCTGCTATTTACTCATTTGTTGAAATCTTTGTTTCAAACTGTCAAGCAATTTATACATCATCCAAGTATATGAAAACTGATAATCAGCTTGCATCATTTGATGGTTGTTGAAGCTTTCAGTAGCATAGGACAAATAAACCTTCCAAATATGGTATAAAAATATGTGCCCTGGAAGATGCAAAGAGATTTTACACTATGAATTTAGAAATTTATCCTGGAACTCAGCCACCAGGTCTTTCTTTGTGCAGTAATGAACTGTATGACTTTGTGAAGAGACTGGTTGCACCTATTTCAAAAAGTAACACAGATGTCACATGTGACAATTGGTTTACAAGTTACCCACTGATGTTATATTTGCTAAAAGAATACCAGTTGACCAGCATAAGAACTATTTCTAAGAACAAAGCTGAGATTTCTGAAAAAATGTTGCAAGTTCACAACAAAGAAATGTGTAGTACAGTCTTTGGATTTCAGAAAGACATAATATTGTCCTCTTATATGGGTAAGAAAAACAAAGTAATATCAGCACTATCAATGTTACACCATGATGATAAGATTGATAGTGAGGCTGGGTGTGCTGGCACATGCCTATAATCCCAGCACTCAGGAGGCTGAGGCAGGGGGATCCTTTAAATTCAAGGTCAGCCTGCATAACATAGTGAGTTTAAGGTTAGACTGGACCACCTAGGGAGACCCTGTCTCAAACAAACAAACAAGCAAACAAACAAACAAATTGATATGAATCCTTAACACAAATGAAGCCAGAAATAGTCACATTTTACACCAAAATGAAAAGCAAAGTAGATGCTGACAAGTTATGCAGCAACTATGATGTCACTTGAAACACAAAGCATTGGCCAATGGTTGTGTTTTACTTGATCCTAAACATGTCAGGCATAAATAGTTTCAGTTTGCAAAGAAAGTAACAAGCAGAAAGTCTCATGGAGAAATTTTTTACAAAATTGGTAAATGATCTGGAATTGATAAATGATCCGTTACAACAGAGGAAGAACAGTGTATTTACCCAAAGAACTCCTCTAAAGAATTCTGGAGCAGACCAGTGAACAGACTGGTGAAACATCACAGGAACCTCTTAAGAAAACAGGAAGACTAGCAAGATGTCAAGTATGTCCTACCAAAGAAGATAGGAAAACAAAACACGTGCTATCAATGTAAGTGGGACTTATGTATGGGACATACTGTTCTCATGTGTAAAAACTGCCTTAGGTATGATAATTGAAGTAAAGATTACTTTTGTGTTAGAGTTTTATTTGTATTTTCATTATAGTTCACATAGGAATTTACTTCTGCTGGTATCTTTTGGGTTTATTAAGCGATCAATTGATGGAGAAAATATTAATGTTTATTCTAAAGACTCAATATATATTTGATATTTTGTTTTACTGGTATTTCATTTTCCTGCTAAGTGAACATTGTATAATATAATAGGAAGCCCCTGACAAAAGAGGAAGACGAGAGGTGACAAGTGTAATCTGCCAAACAGGAAAGGAAAGCTAAGCACATGTGCTGTCGCTGTGAGCAGGACTTGTATACGGAACATGCAGTTATCTAGTGTGATAATTGAAGCAAAGATTATTTCTGTGATAGAGTGTTGTTTGTATTTTCATTGTAGTTCACATAGGAATTTATTTCTGCTATTATTTTCTAGATCTTGTAAGCAGGTAAACAGATGATATTAAAAATGTTGATGTTTATTCTACACACTCATTACATATTAAGAATTTAATTTTTACTTTACTGATATTTTATTTTCTTGTTAAGTACACATTGCTTAATATAGTAAACTCATAAAATTAAACTTAATAATTCATAAATAGAAATACTCCTAAAAAATAAAGCTGGGCATTACACACCCCCATAACATGCTTTTTCCAAAAATTTGCTGTGATGCCCCCAGGGTTACAGCTAGGTTCCAAAATGTTATTGTTTTTTTAAAAAACATTTTCTATTATCTGTCCCTTTTGTCTTTAATTTTTCCCCTCCATTTGTTCATTTGGTTATGGCCACTATTCATCATATAGTTTGTCTGAACTGATTCCCTATGGTTTGTAAAATCAGTTTTTCTTGATTACTCAGTTTCTTACATGTGTTTTATATCTTATGCATGTTTAATTTGTTTTCTGGGATAAAAGGGAGGGTCATTTCTCCTTTATTTAGACAAATATGTAGTCTAGGTATCTTCAGAGATCCTGCTCTCCTTTGGCAAACATGAATGAGAGAAATCAGAACAGAATAGTGGGGTTAAAGTAAATTCAGAATTTCAATATACAGAATTCAACTGATTATTTTATTTTGAAAGGTCAGAAAAGAAACTGCACTGAGAAATAGATGAAATAATATGCTATTTTTAATGAACTCTAAATTATGAGAAATTTGATTTATAAATGTTTTAAAAAGTAAAGTTCACCCAAGCACGGTAGCCCCCAGAATCATCTGGGACAGCATCACTAGTATGTCAATGTGGATGACAAGTGAAGTCCTAAGTACCTTAGATTCCATGTCTTCCTTTTCTTTTGCAATTTCTTTTTTCATCATCTCTTTGTCTAAGGCCCTTTTCTCTTGCTGAGATGAAAGTTCTTTTTCAAGTCGCTCTGTCTGCCTCTCCAGTTCACTCTTTAGCTGCTCACACTGGATTAAAGCCTGCCAGAGGGAAAGAATAAGGCCAAAGTGAGACACGAAGCCTTGCGTTGATTTAAAATAGTTAAATCTCATTGTAAAGTCTCCTAGAATGATTTTGCATTCATTTATGAACACCAGTTACTATGCTCAACTGTTTCAAGATTCATAATTAAGGCTATGTTAACTAATCAACTAGAAAATTCAGGCAACACACCTTGCCAACGGCCCTCAGCAAGGTGAATCAGAATTTGAAGATAGTTCAGAAAAATCATCTGTTCTATTATTTTAATTACATATCATGTTAGTCCTTTGTAAAACACAAATTTCATTGATTTCTCATGGCCTCATGAGTAAAAATTATTTGAATACTTTAAGTGGTAAACATAAGAGTTTTTAAATAAGATGTTGAGTACTGTATTTTATTACACACAGGTTTCTATTTTTTAACGGTATATTAACAAAGATTTCTTAACTATAAAATTTAGTTCATTCCTTCAGAACATACAACTAATATAAAAATTAGGTAATAAGGTTTAAATAAGGAAAGGCTCAAAACAGAACTTACTGCTTAGTTTTATGAAGATTCTGATAGTGGTAAAAGTTTATAATTGTTCTTTAGTATAAATTTCCCACTCTGCATGGCCAGAAATGAAAACTCTCTAATGTCTTTTTGGCCCCATTTATAATAATACCTTTATATATGATATAATGCCTAATACTAAAATATGGCTTTAAAATCATAATTTTAAAGAATCTCAATAAAACTAGGGTGTTATAGTATCTTAATCTTATCCCAGTCACTCCTATCTATAATATCCATTTCACTCAACCTTTATTTTTACATCAGTTGGTAAAAAGCACAAAGTCTGCTGTGACTTGCACACTGTGATTATAAATTTGATAGTCACATTTTGATAATGGCAAGGAAACTGGTCTCAGCATATGCTTGTCTTATGTATTGTTATACTTCCCTCTGGTGAAAGGTGCAATAAATACAGACAAAAACTTCTAGGACATACGAATTTTCTTTATTTAGAAAGCAACAAACTTCAAAAAAGTTTCTGGTTTCTTTTGCAAAGTTTCTACACTCCTAGGCACACATAAAGTATGAGGGTAAAATTCTACTGTGTCAAATTAAGTTAAAAAAAGACAAAAAATTTTTCCTAGGGAGCTAGTCCCCATCTAAACTCTAGTTGAGAATACGTGGGAAAAAAACCTTTATCTTGATTTTAAAAGAAATGAAAAAACATGATTTTTCCATAATTGAAGCCCTTAGAGCTTGAAACATTATGAATCAGTAACTTTTGGGCTTCAAAATACAATTACCCTTGTGCAAAATATTTTATATCAATCTAATAACTTTCACTGATATAATGAATACTATGTGTATGAATGAATAAAATGATTATGGAATGCAAGGCGATGTAGCCAATCTGCAGGTTTTCAACTGAACAAGAACTCAGGAATCAACATTATTAAGTACAGGAATCGTTAAAAGAGGCTACTAAGGAACTAACAATTAGGTTCCAATGAAGAGCGCTAAATAATCTGTTTAAAGAATTTACTCATTTCAGGAACAAGGAATAAATGATCCTGCTAGGACAAGAGGTCAAATATGAAGGTAAGATGATTCTGCAGGAGGCACAAGGCCAGCCAGGTGTGGTGAGCAGTACGCTCTGCAATCTCAGCAGTCTGGGAGGCTGAGACAGGAGAATGGCAAGTTTGAACCCAGCCTGGGCAACTTAATGACTTAGGGAGGAGAACATATTTCAATATAAAATTGAAAAAGAAGGGGCTGGGGATTTAGCTCAGTGGCAAAAGCGCCTGCCTGGCAAGCACAAGGTCGTGAGTTCGGTTCCTGGTACTGGAGAAAAATCAAAAAAAAGAAAAAGAGCTGGAGAAGTAGCTCTGTGTGACGGCTCTCTCTCAAAATTAAAAACTAGGTTAATAAGTGATTATTGCTATCTCTTCGTGTCTAACCAGTGATCTCATATTTTTTTTTTTTTGAGGTATTGGAGATTGAACCCAGGGCCTTCACACTGAGTTATGTTTCCAGTTCGTAAGTCTGTTATTTATTTATTTACTTATAAAGTTTGAGACAGGGAGACAGGGTCTCACTAAAATAACTAAGTTGCCCAGGCTGGGCTCCAACTTGTGATTCTCCTGCCTCAGCTTCCCAGAGTTTTAGGATTATAGGCATGCATCACAATTCTGATGATCTTTTACTTCTATTTATGTTTATTTTAATTAACATCTCCATCTGGTCACAATGAAGAAAATATTAATGGTTAGTAACAATTGAAAATAGAAAATGGATTTACCTTTTCTAAAAATATCTCTTTTATAACGAACCTCATTAGAAGATCTGGGCCTTCTAAGTAAGTATTTATGAACCATTAGCACTAATGTTTTCTCGTTAATTAGTACAGGATTCCCTCTTTTTCAGAATCCCAGCTGACTGCATCCCCTCCCCCATTATGCTCAATTTAGCCATCATTAAAGGCATAAGGACTAAATTCGCAAAGGCAGGGTCAGTGAACAGTCAACTACAATGAGAGGACATCTTTATAGATGACCAGGTCAATGGGCCTTACTATACCAAAAGACACAAAATACTGTCCCCAATAAAATTTACATCTGGTCAACTCAATTTTTAAAATAGAAAATCTGAGCCAGGGATATAGCTCAGTGGCACAAGTGCCTCCCTGGCAAGTGCAAGGTCTTGAGTTCCATTCCCGGTACCAAAAATAAGTAAGTAAACATAAGTCTGTATTTAAAATAAAAAAAAATAGAAAATCTATCTTAAGACATACATATAAGTCTTTCCAGTTGCTAGGGATGTTTTCCCAGAAATGCTAGAGATAGAAGAATTTGTGACTAAAGAATTAGATATGAGAAATACATAGTATGCTTATGAACATAAACTTTAGAACTTGTGAACATGTTTTATCTTTATGAAGTAAAGCCCATAAGATGATCATCAACACATTTAAGCGTGCAGCTTGTAAGTTCAAATTATTGACTCTAATCTTTTGTTTTTGTTTTAATTTTTTAAAATTTTTATTAGTACATGTTTGCCTACATAATGATTACATACATAGTGGGAGTTGGTACATGTGCACGATATATTTTATTTTTACTTCTCCTTTGACTGTAATTTATAAACACTTGCTTAACAGAAGTTTGTTATTCTATTTCTATCTCCTATTGTCAAGACACAGTCATGCCACATTCTAGACATTCAGCATTAGGCAACTTCATCAGGCAAACTATACACTTACATAAATGCAGAAGGCATAGCTCAGTCATACGATGTTGCCTCTTGATGCAGTCAAGAGGTGCAATAAACTTGAAATGTATAAAGTTGCTCCTAGTGCAACACAGCAACACACTGTTTTACGGTAAATTTTTTTATAAGTAGAAGTAATACGTCCCAAAACGGTTGAAAATAGTACATACATAAACCAGTAACATATTGTTGTTTATTATCAAGTGTTGTGTGTTACACCTAATTGCATGTGCTATATATTTTACACAACTGGAAGCCCACTAGACTTGATTTTATCAGCATCGCCAAAACTCTGAGAGTAATTTGTTGCATTATGACCTTAATAAGGCTAAACTGTCACTAAGTGATAGGAAATTTTCAGCTCTGTTACCTTAAGTTACCACAGTCCTATATGCAGTCTGCCCTTGAGCAAAACATTGGTATGCAGCACATAACTGTACGGATAACCTTTGTTTTTCAGCAGGTAATATGCAGGCCAAAAGGCATTATTTTCTATGCTGTGACTACAATCAAATGCTTTTCTGATTTTCTTTCTACTCTGTTGTTTCTAATTTCTAGCTTTTTGGTTCTACTGAAATTAAAGAAATGGAATAATTTGGATATCTAGAAAAGGCAAAAATATTTTTTGGAAACATTTATCCAACCTGTCAGGTTGCTATTTTTGAAAACGTCTTTCTTTAGAGGGTTATCTCAGGATATGCTCACCCTAAGTCCATCCAAGGTGGGTGTCTTCAGGCCCTTACACCATTCAACAATTTCCCTCCCAAGACAAGCAGGGAGGTGTGAGTGAGGCCTACTCACCTCTACCCACATGTCACTACATGTCCTCTACTTCTCCACTCTTATTTATCCCTAGGTTAATTTATTTTTGTGTCTTAAAATTACCAGCAGTTGTAGTAACTTGCAATTTTCAAATAAAACATTAATTGAACAGTTACTATATGTCAGGTATGTCCATGTATGCCAAATGGCTTACATGGATTCATTTAATTAACTCCATAAAGAAATTTTAAGTGGTTTTAACTCAGTTAAAGAAATTGGACTTTAAGACTTTAAATAATTGTCCAAATCACAGATCTAGAAAGTGGAAAAATAGAATTTTGATCCAAAGTAGTTCCACACCAGAATCCATGAATGGCACTGTAATATTCTCATGTTATATACTTATTTTCTTACAATAATCCCTAGGCATTTGCACTGCCTCTATAAATGTAAATACACAGCATAATGTAACTACCTACTTAGCATGCAATACACAAATACAACACTAGATGGCAACAAATGTCAAGGAACTAAAGAACAAAGTATTTCCTAGTTCAGTAATAAAGGTAGTAGTTGGTTTTCAAATTAAAATATCAGGGCTGGGGATTTAGCTCAGTGGCAAAAGCGCCTGCCTGGCAAGCGCAAGGTCGTGAGTTCGGTTCCTGGTACCGGAGAAAAACCAAAAAAAAAAAAAAAACAAATTAGAATATCAACATCCTGGTGTTTTAATACTCTCTGCAAACAAAATTGGTATGTCTTAACAAACTGTCTAGGTAAAAACTCCTAGCCTTGCATTACATTTTGTAAAGTACTTAGTAATCAATCCTTGTTACTAATTCAGTGAAAAAATGCTAGATTCATAATACACAGTGCCTTGTTTGTTCTTAACTGTTAAATTTTAAAAAGCATTAATTATGAAATTTCATTGTTATATTTAAAACTAATGACTGGCTTCTATTCGGCAAACATGAACTGTGCAATTAATATGTAAATGGTCTTGTGAGGAATATAACGGTAGATGTCACACACCTGATTTTCATGGCCTTTTGGTGGAGAGGGCTATAAACACAGCCACCAAAACATAAACATAACATTCAGTAGGAATATACAGGAGGAAGAGATTAATTCAAACAAGAAGAGGCTGGGGAAAACTTCTGGGAACCCTGCCACCTGAGTTGAGCATCCTCTGTTAAATAGCTATTTCACAGACTAATACAGGGCAACAACACAAAACAAAACAAAAAAACATTAGCATGAGCAAATTCTTGACAATGGTCAATTGTAGTTCATGTTCTTGGAATGAGAACAGCTTATATAGAAGAGTGTAGTGAAAGTTAAGTCTAGGAAAATTAGATCAGGGTCAGACTAGTATGAAAGATCTGCTAAAAACTTATTTTTTATTTTACTGCGAGAAAGGAGCTACCTGAATGCAGAGATTTACAATTCAGAAGCCTAAGACAGCAATGTAAAATATGTAGAAGAAACCCAAGGGAAATCAGCCACAATGCTATTGCAATAGTTTGTACACTGCATATAAAGACTTCAGCCAGGCCAGGTATGGCTGGGATACCAGTTACTCAGAAGACAAGTTTGATGGCAGCCCAACTTAGTGAGACCCTGCCTCAAAATAAAAAATAAAAAGGGCTGGGGTATAGCTCAGTGGTAGAGTGTCTGTGCAGTATGTATGAGACCCCGATTCAATCTCTGGTAGTGCACACACATACACACACAGACACGATTTGGGTCAGAGCAGGGATGAAAGAATGGAAAGGTAGGCACAGCCAAACTGGGGAATCAAATGGGGTCAGAGGTTGGCAAATGACTGGCTATCAAGATTCAGGACGAGGGACAGCCAAGATGCTTAACAACTGTAAGCTGGGGTTGTTGGTAAGATGGCGATATGATTATGTGAAACAACAATGTAGAAAACAGTAGAAGAAAAAGTAGGGGCAGATGGGAAGGTGGAGAGAATAACTCGGTTGAACAGTAGATTCTAGTGGCACAGCATCCACATAGGAGGTCTAGTAGCAACGAGAAATGTAGGTCTTGGGCTCAGGAGAGCAGTGAGAGCTAAGAGCATAAAGTGGGGTGTTCACACACAAATGTACATTTGGTTATAAGGAGAGGAACAAAGTCCAGGAAATCAAGGCAACAAGGGTGGAAGTCTAGGAAGTAGCTCTGAGGAATGTCTATATTTAGGAGTCGTGGAAAACAAGTCAAACCAGGAGAGAAGATAAGAACCGTACAAAGGTGATCCAGAAGAGTAAAATATCAGCTAAGTCAAGTTACAAGATGCTACGTTGTGTTATGATAGGACAGTGAATGGCTCCCAAACTACATATAGGGTTTGGGTGGAGTGAGGATTGAGATGAGGTCACTGGACTTGGTAATCAGAAAGTGCCCGGTGATCATCACGTGAGCAATTCAGTAGCAGTTCAAATTGTGCTGTCATTTGTTGAAAACCTGACTGCAGTGTGATCAGAAGTGAAAGGAAAGCTACCAGGCAGACAGCTGTAAGTTTTGGCGGTGAAAGGATGGACTGAGGTAGGAAACTCAGTGGACGCAGATCAGGTGAAGGCTTCTCGTCTCAGGGAGAGCAGTCATATAGAGAACTGGGGCTGGGGGCGGTGGTGAGGAAGGCGATGCAGGAGTGATGTAGTTGATGCAAGTGGGTCAGGGCCCCGGATCCTAGACGTACACGACATGAAGATATTAGAGAAAGAGATTCACCTTGGGAAAGAGGAAGGCCAGAAACGAAGAAGCAGTGAGTGGAAGTGACATTCAAGGGGTCAGACGATGTTGGGAAGAGGCCAGCTGTTGAGAGTGAGGTGCTAGGCCTGGAGCTGGCACAGTAAGGAGGAGGAGTTCATGTGTGGAGTATATGATGCAGTGAACAGCAGAGAAAAAACGGTCAAGCAGCTCTTATGACTACGTACCTAAGTACTATGTACTGAGGCTGCCAGGGGAACTTAGTGGGTAGCTTAAACAAATCCATTCAGCAGTGGTTGGTAGGCTGAAAACAGCAGTAGAAAAAAAATCAAGTGTGACTGAGAATAACTTCCCCTAGCAACTGGCAAAGCAGGTAAACTGGAAAGGTAATACCCAAGGAATTCTAGAGTGCTGGTGAGAACAGGGTTGAATTCCTCAGTGGATATTACTGAGTCCCTATTATGTGCTGAGCCCTGCGGAATGTACTAGCAATTTAACAGTGGACAAGGCAGATCAAGAACTTATTGTCAGAGATCTCAAAGTTTAATGAAGGATACAGATAAGTAAGCAATAATAACACATTTTGATAAATGTTGTAACGTGGAGTGGTTCGCAGCTGGGCACAAAATTGCTGGGCAAGAAAAGTGTTATAAAAAAATTCAAGAAAACTTCACAAGCTAAGAATCGCACTTAGTGACTGGTTGGAAGCTAGGGTGAAGGCCAGGATGAAACCTGGTTTCCCAGTCAGACACTGTAGAGGACAAGGTGCCACTCACTGAGTTAGAGGCCACAGAAAGAGCAGCAGCTCCGGGGCTATGGGTGCATATAAGGAGTTCTATGTGATCTTCTAAAATTCATACGTAAGTGAGAAGGGAAGAAGACCAGCTCTAACACAAAAGAAAATAAAAGAGCGATCTAAAGGGAAGAGGCTGGAGAACCAGAGGCAGGAATGAGGACAGGGAGCAGATTTCACTGGGATGGGGAGAGAGCTTTGGCTAGAGAGTGGTTTCAGAATTGGAGATCTTAGGGACGCTTCTGTTGGATTTACAGCAGAGTAGGGAGAAAATACTGGAGTTACTGAGCTAAAGAGGGTTGGCGTTACACACGTTAACGTGGATGTGGAAACGTTTAAGGATGATGAGAAGAGAGAAGTTGGAGGCTGAAGGCTCAGATGCTAAAGCTCTTAAAAAGTGTCCAAGAGTGTTTTCTAGATGGAGACTTTCTGGTAAGACAGGGAGAACACAGACTCACTGATTTCAAAAGAGAAGTGCTACCCAAATTTCGAAGAGGAATGCTAACAATAGCAGGTGCCCAAACAAAGGCCTGGAAGTGGGAACAAAGAGTGAAGTAAATGCAGCCCCTCCATCCTAGCCACTTGAGATGACATGAATGGCAGAAGGGCCCTTACTTGAGGTTTTGAGAGTCACAATATCCTTAGGGAACAGTGACAGGGTTCAGAACGGATGAGGAAACATACGAGGGGGTTGGGTTAGATTGAAGCAGAAAGAGAGATTCAGATTTCAAGCACTTTAGATTAGAGATGCTCAACCAGCACACGTTATCCAATAAGACTTTTGAATGATGAATATGTTCTATATCTGCACTGTCACTATGGTAATCACTAGCTAGCTATGGATAGTAATCATTTGAAGTATGACCAGTGTGTTTATAAAAAATACAAAGCAACTTTAACGGCTTGCCCCTGGTGGGAAACCTGTGGCAGGTGTACCGAAGCAGGCTGTTTGTACCACTGAAAGCTCTAAAACTGGTTTTAGCTGCATCCCCAAACAACAGCAATGAATCAAGGGCAAGTCTATTATTCAAAGTTCCTGGAACTCAAAACACGGCCTGATCACTAGTGTTAACTGCTGTTGTCATTATCATCATTATGAAACATATTTGACTTAGCTTACAATGGATTCAAACTCATAGCTGTTACTAAATATATGTATATTACTATGTTTGGCATATGTAGATGTTCTAAAAATTTCCCAGGTATAGAGGAGAAACAGTTGTCTTTAGTTATACATAGACATATACAAATGATTGACCATGGGTGCTAAGATTTTCATAGCACTGAAAGAAATAGTAAACAAAAAGATAAAAATATTAGGTACACAAGTCTCTCAAAGCACTTTACCATATTGTACTACAATCTTTAAATAGTACAGTGGACCCTTGAGTTACAACCAGCCTGGTGTATGGACAACCTGGGTTATGACCGGAATTTTAGTTTTAATTTGCTACCAAAGTCTTGAGTTATGACCCGGTTGCTGGGCACTTGTATTTCCCAATGGTATCAGATATAGATTTAACCCTTGAAGAATTCTAGAAAGAACATTACAACATCCTTTCCTGTAGGGGGTTAACTGAGAAATCCTGGGCCAATGTCTCTCTAAGGACAGAGATCTGCCAGTATGCAGGAGAGAGACTTTGAAGGCTGTGTAGAGAAGCCTGAACCTTTAATTGATAACCTCAGTTATACCCAGCCCTCAGGAACGAATTGAGATCGAAAATCGAAGGTCTACTGTAATGTAGCAGAGTATTTGCAGAGAAATAAGAATTCTCCAAATAGTGAGTTTGTTCAGTTTAGAAAAGTCAACTTTAACATACTGGCATTCTTGTGTGTGTGTTTAGGAAAAGCTTAGTCATGGAAGAATAATTACAGAAACAGGAAAAAAAAAAGAGCGGTTCTACAATGCCTTTATTATCATCCTATTAGACTTGCCTTGGTCTTTTCAAAATTGGCTTCCTCAGTCATATGCACAGCTTCTTTCACCTGCTCATAAGCACTTGTTTCTCTTTGCTGCACATCTGCCAAGCTGCTCCTTACAGAAATGAGTGCAGACATTAAGTCGTCTCTTTCCCTGTCAGCACAAAGGGAACATTCAAAAGAAGAAATGATCAAATGATTGCATACTCCTAAGTCAGGGGGGGAAAGCATCAGTACATATTAGAGGACCCACGGTGGGCTAGCTCAGCACACAGCAAAGCTCAGCCCAGAGAACGACCTTCCGTCCTCACTTGGCAAGTGACAGTCAAGCAGCCAGAAAGGCTGAGAGCATTCGTGGAGGACAGCATCTGCACGGGACTATAAGCTACTGTGGGGAGGGCTGGCATACTGAGGGTTGTGAGTAGAGCCCTAAAAAGAGCAAATTAGTTAGAAAAAAGGAGGGGAAGTAAGAAGGGGAAAAGCAACAGATAGGTATTGTAGCTCAAAGTAGAAATTAACATTTTTAAGAAGGGAGGAAGGAAAAGGCAAAAGATTTTATGTTATCTGAAGAGAAACAAACTCTAGTTTCATAAAAAAAAATAGAAGAAGAGAAGCAAGAAGAAGAGGAGGAGAAAGAAGGGAAGAGGAGGAGGAGGAAGTAAAAGAGGAGGAAACAACCAAGTTTTGTTTATATCACTGATTTTTCTCTCATTTATCTGAACAAATATATGTTCTTTTCCTTTCATCTTCCTCCACAATCCACTTTTACATCCTTCTCTTTCAATTAAATTCTTTCAGCTCTTTCTGAGCACATTCTTTTCTTTCAAAGGGTAGTACTGTTGAAACCTCCAAACTCCTGGTTATGCATATTAATACTCAGAATTTAACAAAACCACTGGGTTTGGTCACTGCCAAGCAGCCTGCACCCCCCCGGCAACTCTCAGAAATCCCCTAAGCTAAACTGTTCATTAGGGGGAGACGTGAACAGAATGCCAAAAGGATTTGGCACGTAAAATAGTAAGGATCCAATCCCATGGGTTAAATAAATCCCATATAAAATTTCCAAGATATTTGGAATTTATCGGCTGAATAAAAATATCCAGTAGACCAAAGAAAAAGTGAGGTGGGAACTTTCTATATAAACAAAGCCAAGGGGGGAAAAATATGTTGGGCAGTTACATATGGTATTCTCTGCTTTATTAAAGAACGCAAGTTGTAAACTGTTTCAAATTCAGTTGGAATAAACGCTTGCAGGTCCCTTTTCACTGCCAAGTTCTAAACTATCAGAAAACAGCCAGCTGTGATTTCTTTCAATTTAGCAAACTTTGAAGACTCATACTTTAGATGATTATAAACGCTAAATTGGAATTAATCACTGACTCCATTTAAAAAAATCTTACAGATAAAATAATTTGAACAATTTGTGTTATTTGGAAAGCAGCTATACTTCAAGAAACATATAATGCTGAACAAAGTTACGATTAGTAGTAGTTTCATAAAGCTTTTTTGATAAAAAAATGAATAAATTGCTATAAGTGTAAAATTCAAGGGGTTATGATGCTCTTCACTTTAGAAATTCCTGGTTTGAAATTGATAAAAATTGTTTAATTTTTTTACTCTAAAGGAAATAAAAAGGAGTAAATTGCCTTGATTAACTATAATCAAGCACAATAATTATGCGAAAAAGTGAGAGAATCAAAGCAAAATGAAATTTTTTAGCTAATATAAAAAATAAATTCCAGGCAAGCAAAATTGAATTTGTATTTATTTGCATTTCCAAAAGAATCCATATAACATTCTTTTCTGTTCCTGATACTGTGCCGTCATAAAGTCCAAGCTTCAAATAAAAGGAATGCATAAAATAACTCCGTGTTTCTAAGTATGCTAACAGACAGATCATAACAGCTCAACATCTAACAGGTTTGCTTTTTAAGGGAGATTTACTTTTAAGACAACCTCTTACCAGGACAGTCTCCTATCAAGAGGAGCATCTGTCACACAGTAAATGCTCAGTGCAATAAGTGACAAAAGAAAAGTGCAGGAATAAAGACATCCATAGCAGCTGGGCATCAGAAGAAGTGAGGTAAAGCTCCTTCCTGGTTCTAGCATTATAAAATTGAAACTGAAAAAGTCATCTGAATATTTAGAACTGGAAAATAGTCAGGTTAGTTGCTCTAGTTCACAAATATTTCAAAATATAAACTCAGCAACTTTAAATCGAGTTACAGAAAATCAATAAAAATAAACCCCCAAAAACATCATTATCAGACTCATCATTTAACAGTATGCAAAGTGATTATACTAAATATCTGTACAACCACTGGGTCACCGCACTCCAACTTTCTGCCTGACAAAAGCTTGCAGGTGGCCTTTAGCTGATCTGGGAAGCTTGGAGGAAGCCATTTTGGCAGTCTAAGATTAACTGCTTAGTCACCACATTGTGGTTGCTTTTTTTGTTTTCTTTGTTTTAACTCGCTCAGCCCATATAAAATAATGAGCACCCAAAAAATAAGGAGCTCTGGGCCAGCAACCCTCTCTCATCAACACGATGCCTTGCTTGTGGATCCATTCCCATGTTCACGTGGCTGTTACTTTCTCGAACAATCTCACATTTTTCAGCTCCGCACTTGTCCCTAGGATCTAACAGTGCTACCAGTTATCTACGCTTCAGGAACAGTCAACTGCAGTCAGCCAGGGTAACCCCCAGTCAGTCGCAGTCCTGCTCCACAGGTCCCTGGGCCACAAGCTCAGCCTACAGCCAGGCCTGAGGGAGGCTCTCATAAGAGACAGTTGCATAGATTACATGATATATCAGTGTGAAAGTTGAGAAGGAAGTCCTCTAGATTACCATCTGCCAGGAAAAAGTTCCTCCACTGCTTAAAAACGTCATGTGAATGTTCTGATGAATGTGATCAAGGAATTTCTAGAAACAGAGCAAGCAACACAGTATTAATCTCTCAACATTCCACGAGCTTCATGAGAGGCAGCTGAGCAGAAAGACAATGTAAAGAGTGTGAACGCCAGTTCAGGGGTGGAAAAGCATGTGCTTACACAAACTAACAAGCACGAAATATTTAAGGAACTTAGTGAAACAACCAGAGCAGGAAAAAGACTGAAAAAGTCTCTTAATGATCTCAGCCAAGTGTTTAAAAATAAGCAGAGAATTGGTCTGTTATATATACATGAGTTTTATCTTGAACTATGGAGTACCTAAGAAATACGTTATAATTCCTAAATCACTCCAACACTTGCTATCCATCTTAAGCACTACACAGCACCATTAAGTATGATTACTACTATTTTAAAAAAGGTCTAAAAGGCTGACTACAACATTTCTTTGTTCCTCATTTCTAGGAAGTTCCTGTATATCTTTCAAAGCCAACTATAGAGAACACTGCCAATGATCTACCCCAAAATCACGAGCTGGCCTAAAGACTCAAGATAGTTCTGTGGTAATTACTTATCCTTTAAAAACATACACTGAATCTTCTCCAATGTATTTTGAGCTACCAGAAAGGAATTTAATATAAACCAGTTCCATCTTGATTACCACTGAAGGTATCTGACCAGCAAACAAAAGAATAAAAAAAGGGGGGTTACTCTTACTCTAACCTCCCTTATGGAATAAAGAGGCCCAAGAGAAACACAGTTCAGAAACACTCCGAAGGCTCCAAATCAACCATAAAAATGTATCAGCTGTCATCAACAGTCATTAAGTATACTTGGCAAAACATCCTTAAGGTCCTAACAAAATACCACAGATATATGGGTGGTCTGGTCTCAAATTATGCCTCATCTCCTCTTTGTCAACTGCACAAATCATTCTCATGTGATAAAGTCAAAACAGTACATGCTAAAAAGGGTGATTATTAGGGTGGGAGAAAAAGGGGGAAATGGGGAATATAAATGATCAGAGATATTACACATGTGCATATGCCAAAAGAAAACCCATTATAATGTGCATGCATTGATTTAAAAATTGTATATACTAAACAAGGCAGCTTAGAGCTGGTGTCATAATACCACATTTCCAAAAGTGGCCAGCAAACTCTTGATTTACCATATTTAGGGTATAATTTTTAAATCTCATTTTAAAATCTTGCAGTAAATACTACAATAACAGATTACTGAGGGGTCAGGCTTCTGACTGAATAAAATTAGAAATCTAAACCTAGCAAGTGTTGGACACTATACAAAGTCAGCATGGCACTCAATAGTCAATATTCTGCAATTAACACGTTGGGAAAAGCTGAACGCTAGCTTAGGCCAAGGGAATCATACAGACACACACAAAAAAATACCAACTGAAAATAAAAGCAGAAAACTTTCATTCTATTCTGTTATTAAAGCAGAACACAGGACAAAGATATGCTGACAAAGCAACAAATTGAACTAAGTAGGTTGACATTAACTTTAAGAGGCTGAGATCAAATTGAGGATAGAGACAAAGGAATACATAAGTGAGCAAGAATCCAATTTCTAAATGACTGCCAGACTTGGAACCAATGTAAACACTGTAGCTTCCTTTAAAAATATTTTTCTCATGACCGACAGGGATGGATAATATGAAAGGCGATACAGCAGAGGGAAGAAACCCTGGTTTTTACTTGTTGGTTGGTTTTCTTGGACTAGTTTTAAACTCTGTCTCTTTTTATCTGAGTAGTATGTAATGTTCTTTTTTTTTTTTTTTAAGAATTTGTTTCATTATATTGTACTTGCAAAATTAGTTACCAATATGGTTAAAGGCCAATTTCAAACAAACTTAATTCCAATGCCTTCTACTATCTCTTCAGTAGTAATTGCTCTTAAATATAAGGTGTCTATTCTTTCAAACCTTTTTCTATGCATATGTATCAAACTAGAGAAAATATGCTGTATTGCTGTGTATGGTCTTAGAAAATACAAATGGTTTTATCTTTAGCTGTTTTGTTTTTTTCAGTAATATATTTTGGAGTTAGTCCCATATTAGTACACATAGATCTACTTAAATTCTTTTTTTTTTTTAACACTATACACAACACATAGTTTATCCAAATCATAGTTTAGTTACTCTCAATGGAAGATATGTAGGTTGTTCACATCATTACAATCAACACTGCAAAAAAGCATTCCCTGTAAATGTCTCATTATGCATGCACAGAAGGTTTTTCTCTATCATAGATTTTGAAAGGTATAACAAATAATTTAAATATTAAATGGATAGTACTAAATTACTCTCCAAAGTGGCTGTACCAATTTGTACTTCTACTAGCAGGATATGAAGATACGCACTTACTTATGACCTTACACCTCCTGGAATGATCAGTGTTCTTTAATTTTACCATTCTAATGGTTGGTATTTTTCTGAGATTGAATTTCCTTGAATATTAGCAGAACAAATACCTTCTCTTGTACTGACATCTTCTTATTCACCCATTTTTTTTTTCTCCTTACTGTGCAACTGGGCATTTTGTTGGTTTTTTTGTTTATTTCAAAGGAAATTCTTTGTATCCTCACTAATATTTTGTTATGTATAAAAAATATTTTTCCCAGTCTCTTCACCTAATTTGAAATATTTTATCATAGTGAATTTATTTATTTGTAATTCATTTTTTAATTTTTGCAGTGTTAGGGATGCAACCCAGGGGCCTTGTACATGCTAGGTAAACACTTTACAACTCATTTATATCCCTAACCCATGAATTTATCTTTTAAGGAAGTCAAATACGTCATTTTTTTCCCTTTATAATCTTCGGTTTTCATATCATGCTTGGCATTGTAACAAGCTCAATGCTATGAATGCAATCTTCTATATTTATTTAGAATACATTTATAGTCTGAATTATATTTGGCTCTATAAACTATCTTGAACTTACTTTTATAAGGTAAAATTCTATTTTTTTTTTCAATTATAAAAAGGAAATTTTTAAATTTATCTAAGCTTCAGTTTCCCTAGCTATAATGTGGGGTAATAATATCTTAAAAAAATGATATATTCAGATTAAGAGATTCTGTTTTTAAATTGCATGGCACAGCCCTTGACAAATAATAAATGTTCACTACATGTTATGAAGATGTAAAAATACAGTGAATAGTTAATGGCTATATTAATATATATGAATATAGTAATTTAAAAATAGTTAATAATATGATATTTAACAAAACCAGAACCATCTGGCAGATCATAAAACATATCAGCCAGCCCATACTGGAGGCTCAGTTTTTAATACAGCACCCAGCAGGCTAACCATGTGTGAAAACCATAGCTGCCAGATACACTGAGTGGTCTTGTACTTCGGAAGGTACTGAGGCATTTCAGTGTTTACTGAGCATTTAACATAGGTCAAGAAGTATTTTTAACATTATATCCCTTAAAGAGTTCTCAAAGTACCTTCTGAATTAGGTACCTTTATGACCATTTTTATTTACTTATTTAAAAAGACAGGGATCATTCCCAGAATATCAGGTCTTGATTTCTGGATTTGAGACACAGTCTCACTACGTTGTTCAGGCTGGCCTTGAACACACTATGTAGTCCAGGCTGGCCTCGAACTCATGGCAATACTCCTGCCTCAGCCTCTCGAGTGCTAGGATTACAGGCATGAAGCACCATGCTGGGCTCTACTACCATTTTTAAAATGAGAGAATTAAGGCAGAAACAGAAACATTGAGTACCTACTGCAGGCCAGGCAAGGAATCAGAGCTGCAGAAAGAAGCAAAACACAGTTTCTGTCTCCAAGTGTACACAATATATTATAAAATCACAGGAGGAAAGAATCAAAGTCAGTTGAGGGCACAACGGGATAGCATTTAGTGAAAATGCTTCCAAAAGGAAATAATGTTTGGGCTACTGATGTGAGCAGAGCAGAGAGAGGTGATTTTGAACATGGAAAAAAAGTACAGAGTATGAGGAAACACATACTCCAAACCATTACAAAGTTCCAGTGAATAAAATTTTCTCAGAAAAAGGCTTCTAATGGAACAGTGAAAATGGAACCAAAAAAGAGGTACAGAAAATTGTAGTTATTTCAGCCTAGCTGAAAACTTGCACAACCTAAATGCTTGAGTGTAATCTGTCCTTAGCTCTTCAGTATCACCGCCATGATGCACCATCATCTTTCCTCCACTGTACTCACAATGCTCCGCACAGCAGGCACAGGATGAAGATGGGGTCACAGCTCACGCCACCTACACTGCGACAGGGAAACTCAAGCGCAATCATAGAAATTCCTACCACACTGGTTTTCCTGAAGAACGGTGGTAGATTTAAAGTTATAGATTCATAGAACTGAACAGCATTGTAAAGAGTATCCAGTTGAATTCTTTTACTTCAACGTAAGACTGAAACTAAGCGATAAATTTGTCCAAAGTGATATGGTTACTCACAGTTGGCTGAACCTTTCTTCAAGAAAGCTACAACAAAGTAACCTTTAAAATCTACTTTACTTGAAACTTAACATTAATCACATGTGATTTAGCATGGGGATAAAGAACAGGTGCCCTTTAAAGACATAATTTTCTATGTTGCCAAAGGCCTTGCATGGAGAAGCATACTTACTTAGTCAGTCTTTCGATGGTCTGGATGTGAACATTATTATGGGTTTGGGAAAGAACAGCTTCATGCTGAGCACACTTCAAACAAAGACCACCAACATGGCTGGAGATATTAGTAGCAAGAAGAGACTCTTTATGCTTTAGTCGCTGCTTAAGATCTTCACAATTTTTCCGATATTCAGCTAAGTCTTTCCTAAGGAGAAGGAAAAAAAAACTATCAAATCACCAGATAAAAGTACACTACTTTCAAATGAATCGTCATAGTGAATTACTACATTATTAGTAGTATAATAGGTAGGATAGGATAGGATAGGTAGGATAGCTACCTTACTCCATTTACAGTATACGTAGTACCTTATTAATTCTTACCACAACCCTGAAATGCAGGTGTGATTATCCTGACACATTGAATGTAATGAGACTTGAATATATTAAATAATTAATTCAGCTTCTTGTAAAATTAAAAAAAAAAATTAGATTCCCAACATAGGATCCTACCTCCTGGTACACTGTCCACAAAACACAAATAAATCCTGAATAGTTCTCTTAAGGGGTGAGACAATGTAATACAACATCATAGAAGTGAAGGAAATACCTTATTTCAAGAAATAACTCCATAAAATGTATAGAGAATACCTAAAGTTGACGTAAAGAACACGAATTTTACCTGTGACTAATTTAGTATTTCCCGTTTTTAGGAGGAAAAGATTAAAAATGATCTAACCAGAAAGTTCTGCAAAGAGTTGTTTCAAAAGAAGGTAAACTACAGAAAGAAGTCAAATAGAATTTACCAGTCATTTCAAAAGCAGCAGCTATCAGTTGGAAGTAAGCAGGTTGCTAAAGAAAAGGATGAGAGAAAATGGTTGGTGTGTGTGTGTGTATGTGTGTAAGAATTTTGCTGTTCTGGGATCATTCTGGATGAAAATTTTCTCCAAATTGACTTTTATAGAATTAAGTGACCAGTATATGACTTGCATTTTCCTTCTTCTTCACAGAAATGTAACAGAAAATGGTCCCCTTAGCCAGTATACTTCAGTTTCTTAGTTGCCCAGGTAATAGTTCCTGTTTTAGTTCTAGTTGCTACTGGTCTCTTAGAAATGGCTGGCTACTGTGATGCATAACTGGTCGCTATGATGCACATTATATAAACCAATCCCCAATTAACAAGCCATTCTGCCTCTGTATTTCCTGCTTGCTTATCTCATAAAAGCCCTAGACCACCAGAGATCAGGACCTGATATTCTGGGAATGATCCCGATCAGTGTTCACTGATGTAAATAAATCTGCCTCCAAATCCTAGGTGTCATCTTGGTGTTTCTGCTTGCCATTCTAGTAATGCTTTGGTAAGGTCAATTTGAGCAACTGAGCTTTGTTGCCTCATGTCCCTTTCCCACTCTAAGTTGGTTTACACACACACACACACACACACACACACACACACAAACATACAGTGACATACACACAGAGACATATTTTTTCAAGATAGGGTCTTACTATGTTGCTCAGGCTAGCCTTGAACTTGCAATTCTCCCACCTCAGCCAGCCTCTGAGCAGCTGATATTATAGGCCCGTGTCATCACACCTAGCTCCTATCGTACATATATTTTAAAGAAACTCCCTACCTCAAAAAGGCGACAATACTGTAAGTTCCTGAGACAGTGAAGGGAGCCACTTTATCTCAAGCTTTGTCTACTCCTGTTGTCAGCATTTTCATCCCCAGGGGAGTATAATTATTAATTTGCTCACCATCAGACAAAAAGCCAAAAACTACGACACTTGGTTATCAGGCACTTTTTAAACTCCTTGTGTTTGGGAGCTCTCTAAGAACACAGGGAAGATGGGAAAGATCTATGGACAATTAAGGATTAACAAAAGCTAATGTCATAATGGCTTAAAATTTGTGGGGGCTATTTTTACTCCGACTCCAAGATAGCATCTTTAACATAGTGAAGTTTTCCTTTTCAGTATCATGAAGACAAAGTCTGACTTTCAAAGGCTCTATAAAAAGAAATTTGGAAACACATTCCAGAGTCAAAGTGTCCCATTATTAATTTCTTTCAGGTTCAGGCTCAAAACAAAGTATATTTAGTTACAAAAATGACAAAAGAGCAAATTTAAGAGCAGCAGCTTTATAGCTGGAGTTTTGGAATAGTAATTTTAATACTTTCTTTAAGAAAATGCCTCTTTAATCTTAAATCGTAATTTAAAAAAAGAAACAGAAGAATGTAGAGAACAAAGTCTAATTCACTGCAAGTTGGTTTTTTTAATGTAATTAAAAAGAGCATAATTGAATTCTGAATGAGAGAGGTCACATTCTTATAAGTCTAAAGACCTAAACATAGATTACTTCCAAAACTCAATAAGATCAAATAGGTATTAAAAGCAAAGGTAAAAAGCAAGAAAACAAATATTAGACTATTCTTTTTTTTGTTTGTTTGTTTTTCTCCAGTACCGGGAACCGAACTCACAACCTTGTGCTTGCCAGGCAAGCGCTTTGCCGCTGAGCTAAATCCCCAGCCCCGACTATTCTTTAAATGTTAGGTTTCTTAACAAAAAAGTAAACTCTCTACAGAAATCCTAAAACTCATGAGAGTAAACTATGAAAGGCATAAGAATACTTTAAAAATGTTAACTATAAAAGCAAAATTTATAAAAATAGCTAGCAATCCTTATTTCTATATCCTTATACCTGAAGGGATAAACTTTATAATTTGTTACACAGAAATGAGATTTAGAAAAGGACTCACAATGCTTTTCAGGCTTCACTTATCTGAATAAATTTTTATACTGTATATAAAATGTTTTCAAGCAATTCTAACATTGAGTAATTCTGGCAGTTCCTCAAACATTCAAGTACTTTCTAAGACAATTATGCTTTTGCGTATGGATGCTAATGGATGATTTCACTTTACCTCAAAAACGTCAATTCAGATTCTAGAATTTCACTTTTTGCCTCATATGTAAATTTTAGCTTCTCCTGTAGAATAGAAAAAAAAGTTCAGTGTCTTCATTTCCTTTGTTTTATAAGAACATTTTAATGATTAATAGTGAACTCAATTGTTTTCCTTTTTGCTAACAAGAAAAATAATGCTTCCTCTTAGAAAACATTATCTCACCCCAAATTTTCTGTTTCATAAAAAGGTGATGACTGACAAATGTTTTTCTTTTAAAATAGCACACGTCAGATCTCTGAGAAAAATAGTTGTAATTCATTAGGTCCATGATGGCAAAGTTCAAATATTATAAGCATGGGAGGGGAAATCTTCCACTGTGACTGCAGCATATGTGACACAATACATATGTGCTGAATAAGTAACAAAAGGTAAAGTTATAAATTACATAATGGTATGCCAAAATGGTATACTATCTGTAAGCCTCTGGTCTTCAGTTATTCTTTTATTCAACCAATGTGTATTGGGTATCTAAGATAAAGGAGCCTCAAAGCTCAAGAAGTTTATCTTTTAGGAAGAAACAAAAAGACAGGTGAAAACTTTCAATTATATATAACTGCTCCAGTGAGCTACAGAGAAAATAAAGTGGAGTCAGAGAAGCAAGATCTCCTAATTCAGCTAAAATGAAATGTATAAAGCATCAGAGAGGAGGTGCTAGGACTTCAAGGATAATTTCCAGTACAGCAAAACCTATAGAAGCTTAAAGAGAACACACTACGTCTCTGGATGTTTGTAGGTTAGTGTCACCAGAATGTGAAGCACTAGGTGGAGAAACGGTTGACGATAGCCTACATAAGGAAGGTTGGTTCTATGAGAATAAAAATACACAGTGAGATCTTTGTTTACATGATTCATGTAGTCAACTTTTTATTGGATTGAATCTTCTTTTTTTCTTTTTCTCTTGTTGGTACCAGGAATTGAACTCAGGACCTTGCACTTGCCAGGCAGCCATTGTGCCACTGAGCTATAGTCCCAGGCCCCAGACTCAATCTTAAATCAGAAGTATAGAGAAAGGGAAACCAGAAAAGAAGTCATTGCATGTGAACAAAAACAATCAAGCAGTAAGGATCCGAAAGAAAGTATAGAGATATTTTAGATTAAAATTGACTGAATGTTATGACTGACTGAACTGGAGAGAAAAAATACACTAAAAATAATCTTGGATTCTGATTTGAGCAATCAAGTGAATGTTCGTGCTAAAGATTATTTCAGATCAATAGAAGAAGATAAAAGGAAACCATAAAAATACTCAATTAAAGAGAAGCCAGAAAATGCTCAATTTAAGAGAAAACAGACAAAGAAGGGAAACAAATAAAATGAAGTTATTCTATGATTTGGATTGAGAATGTTCTTCAAAGGGCTCATGCACTAACAGGTAAGGTGTTTGGAAGATGATTATATAATATTGTGAATATATTTAATGCACATGAACTGTACATTTAAAATAGTTAAAGTAACAAATTTTACATTACATATGGGGGTGCTGAGAATCAAACTCAGGACTTCGTGCATGCCAGGCAGGGACTGTGCCGCTGAACTACATCCCCGGCCCTACATTCCATATATTTTACCAGGATAAAAAAGTATAAACTGGAAAAATAGAATTCAGATATATGAGAAAAGCATCCAAATACTCACCAGCTCTGACTTCCATTTTTCAGCCTCACTGGCAGCTTTGCAAATATCTCCATCACCATGGGAAAATGGTCTCTTGGCAACTTCCACCCTGGAATCTTCACCTGTTGTAACCCAAGAATTTTGCATGTTTCCCTAAAATAAAATGTGCCAGTAACTGCAATTGGCATTCAACATTAAATAAACATGCATATTTTATAAGTGGAATACCGATTCTCATCCATGTTCAATGGGAAAAAAAGCATATGCTTCTAAATTATGTGTCAAGAATCCTTTTATATTTTCAGCTTATTAGGGTCACATTCTACAGCAGTTACAGAGTCAAATTCTTACAGGTATAGGCAATAATCCCAACGTGATCAAAGAGGAATGAATGTCACTAATTTTGACAAATGGCACTGGCCCTTACTCTTCTTCAAAGACATACTTCTTTTTCTTTTTCTTTCTTTTCTTTTTGTGGTGCTATGATCTAAACCTGGGACTGCATACATGGTAGGCATGTGTTCCACCACTGAGCTAAAGGTCCAGCCCTAAGACCTACACTCTTGAAATACACAACCCTTTCCTGGTTTGTCTTTCATTTTCCACATTTTATAGAGGCAGGGATAATAATAATAGATAGAGGCAGGGATAATAATAATAATAAATAATAAATAAACAATAATTTATAGAGGCAGGGATAATAATAATAATGATTGCAAGTACATGTGGTGTTTACTATGTGCCAGACACTGGTTTATATGCTTCACATAACTTGCTAATGGTCACAGAGGTGGGAAGTGGTTAAAAAAGTGGAAGAACCAGGACTTGAACTCAGGCTTGAAATCTGGCTCAAGAATTCACTACTGTGATATAATAAGAAATATATATTTTATTTCTGTCCCTGGATCCTAAAAATCACTGTAATTTTCTCGGTGTTAAGAACATCTTTTAAACTGGACTTGGTGGCATATGCCTGTAATCCCAGCACTTGAGAGACTGAGGCAGAAGGATCACTGTAAGTTAGAGGCCAGCTGGGGATCTGTAGTGGGTTCACAGCCAGCCTGAACTGCATAGAGAGACCCTATCTCAAAAAAAAAAAAAGAGAGTGAGAGAAAGAGAATGTCTTTTGATATAATATTTGGTTTTAGTACTGGTTCCTGACTCAAAAGCTTCCGAAACCCTTAGAGTCCTCATATTGATAAGAATATCTTTTTATGATAATGAGATAACTGGTGGGGGGGCCCCTAGATAGCTCCAGGGGGTGCCAGAAAGACCAAGGCATAACAAGAGGACTAGAACTTTTGGTTCACTCCCCCTCTCTCTAGAGGAAAGAGGGTCTGGAGATTGACTTATCCATGGTCAGTGAGTTAATCCATCATCTCTATGTAATGAAGCCTCCACAAAATCCTATGTGATGGGATTCAGAGAATTTCTAGGTTGGTGAACATATCCATGTGCCAAGAAAGTGGCACACCTCAACTCCTTGGGGATGGAGGCCCTGGACCTTGCCCTATGTACCTCTTTGTCTGGTTGTTCATCTGAATTCTTTATGATAAGCCAGAAATAGCAAACAAAGTGCTTCATTAAGTAATTTGAGTTATTATAATAAAATGTCAATAGGAGGAAAAGGTTGCATGAACTCTCAATTTGTACCCAAGTCAGACAGAATTATGGGTAACATGGAGATTGACTACTTGCTACTGGCAACTAAAGTATGGGGTAGTCTTGTGATATTGAGTCCTTAAACTTTGAATTCTGATGCCAGCTCTGGGTAGCCAGTGTCAAAACTGAATCATCGGATACCCAGTTGGTGTTTACAGAACAATGGAAAATGGCTTCATGTAGGAAAAAAAAAATCCCAAACATTTGGTGTTAGGAGTGGTATAGATCCAGAAAAGGGAATATTTTTCCTTGAATCTCCTAATTATGCAATTATGCCTTTCAAAAATAAAACTTTATCTTCAATAAGAAAAAATAGTGCATATGTGCTGATAAAGAGAAGTGACTTGGAGAATTAAAAAGGAGTGATAGGGACCACGGGAATCAGGAAATATGTCCATGCAAGGGAAGCAGCCACTGCTAAGTTCCAATCAATAGTTTCCATGTGGGAATGCAAATTCTTATTACTGAACCTTTTTGATAAGACTTTCAGTTCAGCTAAATAGTGGCTCAAAGTTTGTCAAACAAAGGAAACATGCCTTTGGGTAGAAGTTGACTCATTGTCAGTTTGCGCTCTCTGTCACCCTCTCAACATTCAGTGAAAATGCAGCATAAAGATCTGGGTAAATTTATGTGTGCAAAAAGGTCTAAGATACATTAATTTAATTCAAATAATTATTGAACTCTTGCTGAGGGTCAAAGTTTGTAGTACTCATAAGGGAAATAGTACTCATAAGGTCCCCAGCACGGAATTGTACTGCCGTGTCATATCATTGTAGAATGGGGTAAATTGCATTCGTCCATAGTAGTAGTCTGAGATTCTGTTCCATATTCACATGCAAGTTTTAGTGCAAATGTTTATAGCAGTTACTGTATTCACAAACTGTGCCAAGAGCTTCCAAGACAGACCAATCTCTGCTGAGAAGGGCTGACAGTCCAATGAGGGAAACAAACACCAAAGTAAATGATTTTGATTAAATAGGTAAGTTCTACGTCTAAAGTGTGCATGGGAGACTATGCCAGAAGAGAGAAGGGATATTAAGAGCAAAAGGAAATTTAAAAGCTTTTCAGGAGAAATTTTGACCCTGATACGATATCTAGATGGGAGAGCATTCTAGAAAGAGGGGAGACCATACCTACCTGAGAAAACTTACAGATGTGAAACAGCCTGCTGCTGGTGGGAGGGTTCACCAATTACTAGAGTTAAATTACAAGATGATGCAAGTCAGGAGATAAAGCTAGAGAGTTAAATAAAGGTCTTGGGAGGAGTGTAGTGTGCTATGCTAAGGAGCTTGTACTTGATTGTGTAGGTGGGGCCAAATCTCCCAACATGTTATTGTATGCAAAGTTGCTTTTGAGATCAATGCAGAAGAGGGTTCTAATTTCCTACAGCGAAGCTGGAGAAAGTTTACAGACCAAGCCGACTTAGGATGTAAAATATTATCATCTTGTGGGAAGAAGTGTTACTCTAATGAACACTTTGTTCTTTCACAGATAGGTTTTTTAAACTTGAATGCATTTAATTAAGGTACAAAAAAACCATACATATTAAATCTTGAGGATAATTAAAAACTTCGTATTTCTTAATTGAAGGGAGCATTAGTAGTGGAGGGGATAAGACCAAACATAAAAAGAAATGGCTTAGAAATTTTCTCCTTTGAAAAAAAAGTCCATGTGAAGGAGTACAGATGTCAAAATTTCTAATAAATAACTTTAAATATCATTTCTGAACTTTACAGAAACCTTTCCCTGAAGATAAATTTTATAGAGCAGTGGTGGAAAATGAAGATAGAAATGAAAGGTAGATTGAATAATTTCAGTTTTTAAAAAATCATTTAGAAGCTAGAAGTAAATGCCTGTAATCTCACCTATTTCGGAGGCTCATGCAGAAGGACTGAATGCTTGAGGCCAACCTGGGCAATTTAACATGAGCCTTTCTCAATATAAAAATACATAAATGAAAAGGTGATTGGTGTGTGCAGTGGTAGAATGCTTGCCTCGCATCTGTACAGCCTTAGGTTCAATTCCTTTATACCATAAAAAAAAATTCATCTGCTTTTCAGTTTCATAAACTAGGTCAAAAGCCAACAGTCTTGTTGGTTACCATCCAAGTCCAGGGCTAAAAGTGAGAGACACCAAAAATGAGTCTTCTCTTCTCTGGTAGGGGAAACTTCTAGTCTCTGCAAGTGAAAGTGGTTTCATTCAATATTGATGAACTCTTCCTATTGATGCAGAAAGGCAGCATAACCGGAGGTTAGGTAAATGGATTTGGGGAATCAGACAAAATTGGGTTAAGTCTTTGCTTTGGCATTTTGTAGCTTTGTGACCCTAAACTTTTTATTAAGTTATTTAGCCACTGTTATTTTAATTTTTCCTCTTGAAAATACAAATAATAGCACCTGCTTGTGTGCCTATTGTGAAACTGAAATCATATCAAGTGCTTATACAGTGCATGGCATATTAGAGCCATGTAGTTACCAAGAAATATTGGTTATTACTATGTAACTGTTTCAGTTATTATTCCAAAGAGGACATTATGAAAAACTGAAAATAATTACTCAAGTCAGGAATAGTTTTGGCATATTCTAGCATCAACATTTTAATTCGCTCCTTAAAAAAGTTTCTCTCCCCCAGAAAAGATCATTTTTCTGGATCTCTATATTTAAGAAATTCTAGAAAGTTTTACTCATGTTAAAATTCCCCATACCACATCCTGCATATATTGCTGATATGCCACAATTTAGGTACACAAGTAGAAAGTAGGAGTGACAATGCTTTAATAAATAACACAGAAGAAATAGCATTAAAATCCACACCACAGTCACTGGACACATCTGCAACAATTATATCAATATTTGTATTACATATTCGTTCATGTGAATGTTTACAGAAAAGAATACAAAATCCCTCTGTAACCTTGTGTGTTCTATTATTATGACTGCAGTTTTCCTTAGCAAATTCTCTTTGCTCAGTCTGCAAGCCATGTGTGCTGTTACCCTCACTTCCTTCCTCTCTTGAATTACTCACTCCTCTTGCCCTCTGATTCACTGGTCTGCCTAATTTCCTCTCCCACTTCACTTCCCCTTTTCCCATTTCTTTGCCATTGTATAAATATTGAAGACTATGAATAATTGAGTGTGTGCTAAGTGGCTACATATTTCAAGGGAAAGCAAAAGACTATATTTTCTTAATGAGCAACTTCTAGGTAATTTTTATTTTAAAATAATTTTATGGTGCTATCTTCTTTAAATTGACATTAAAACAATAAGCAAGTGAGAATTTAAAACCACTAATAATAATTATGCAAATCTTCAAAAAAGTTAAATAGTAAAGGAAAAATGACTGATCACAACTTAAGCATAATTGTGTAAAAATAAACTGAAATATCAACCTACTTTATTTTTCGAGTTAACACAGATATTTCTTTTCTTTTTTGTTTTTTTTTGGTACTGGGAATCAAAACTCAGGACCTTGCGCTTGCAGGCAGGCACTTGTGCCACTAAGCTATATCCCCGGCCCAACACAGACATTTCTTAAAAGCGAATTCTGGCAAATATAACTCGACTAGAAATAAAATAACTCAGATTAGAAAAAAACTCTTCAAAAATAAAATGAGAAATACTTAAGTAAAACATCAAGATTGATTTACTAAATATAGCTAAATCAAACCCTCAAAGTCATTACAAAGTAAAGCTGCAACAAGAAGGTGTTAAAATTTCCAAATGGCCAGGCACAGTGGCACATGCTTGTAATATCAGCTACTTGTGAGCCTGAGGCAGACGGACCAGAAGTTTGAGACCAGCCTTGCCAAATTAGTGAGACCTATTTCAAAATTTAAAACAAAAGAGTGAGGATGTAACTTAGCATTTCCTGGGTTTAATCCCTAGTACCTCAAACAAAACAAAACAAGAAACTTCCCTACGGAAAGTTGAAGTTGTCACAAAAAGGAGAACGTCGGTGATTAGCTGTGTCCTACAGCAAAACAGCGAAAAACACAATTTGAAAGTATCTCTGAGTAGTTATAAGAGGATATTAAATTTAAACACTTTAAGTATCATCACAAGAGTTTTATGTCACAGAACTATAGCAGTTATCTTGTCCACTGTTCTGAAAATTATAAGCAATTGATTTTAGAATCACTTAGACAACTTAATAAAAATTCATATTCCTATGACCTAACCAGATCAACTGAATCAGACTCTCAGGGCATGGTATGAAATCTAGAAATCCATACTCTTAATTGGTTGTATAGGTGAATGTTCTCAAATTATTAGTGACGGAATTACCCGGGAGGTTTAGCAATGCAAAGCCCTACAAAACCATTTGCTATACCCTAGTCCTCAGTACTGCAAAACTAACAAACAAACCTATTTGCTCAACACTGGTTTCTAATTTACAATGATTAAGACTAACATTTTGATCTGTGACCCTTGGTACAATGTTCTTTCTGCAATACCATATTATGGAGACATATTAGATTTTAGAGTGCACAAAAAATGTAGAGAAATCCAACAGAGATCTAAGGTAAGGTTCAGAAAACTTTCTCGACTGAACAGAGTTTTTCCTACATAACACACTTCCTGCTTTTACATCCACTCTTTCCATACGGAAAAAACATCAGTGGCATGCCCAGAGAAGAAAATGGAGTAAATATTAGGCATAATTACATGACTCACTTGAGAATACATTCCACCACAGTGAATTCTAATTCTTGAGACATCAAGCAAATACCAGCATAGTAGTTGGCCAAATATCAAAGAGAGAATCTAAGGAGTTCAGAAGGCTGGGGAGGAGTATAGAGGAATATTCAAACAAAAACAGAATTTATGGTTTTAAAAATGCTCACAGATGCATCCAAAAGTGTTTGTTCTCTCATTGTCTCCTCTTGTCTCTCAGATTTCAGTTCTTGCTGGAGTCTTTCATTTTCAAGCACAACTACTTGTACCCTATTTTTCATTCCAGATAGTTCCTCCTATAAAAATCAGAAAACAAATATGTTAAGCATTTTTAAGCAGTGTTTTTATTTATAATTACTAGAGGATCTAGCATGATTTGAAGTATGGAAAATATGCTCTTGATAAATTTCCTAAAATATTATAATTATATTTAGACAAGAAAAGAAAACTAACCATTAACCAGCAAAAAAGAGAAGGCTGGGGGTATACAAGGTGAGAGCCTGCTGATGGCCATATCACAAATATGTGTAGTTTCTGACAATTGTTTTTCTTCAAGGGATTGAGGTTCATAGAAAGACCTTAATTAAGATAGTTATCTAAGAGATTGCTAACGATGAGGTAGACTGCTGAAAAGTAAGAAAAATTATATTATTACTAATGATCAAATGTCAAGAACTTGTGAGGACTAAGTAGAGGAAGACTGTGAGATAAAGGTATAGATAGATGCAGTGGTTATCTATGAACTGGTAGCCAGACAGAGAACAGTCAGTAAAGCAGTTGACTGTTTCAGAAAAGACAGACTTTGAGAAGATAGCCCAAGGGACCCTGACTTAGGAAGACTGCCTAGGGGAACTGGATTCCCAGAATTCATTTCATAGTACTCAGCCCAAGCCTCTGAAGGCATGATACAAGGGTGCCTGGCTACTGTTGGAGATGGTGGAAGATGGTGGCATCATCTACATGGTGTTGATTTTATGGGGATACAGAATGAAAGAGTTGTGGGGTGGTGGAAACTTATATTTAGATTTAGAAGAAGGCCTAGAAGGCCAGACAGTGAGGCCCTGAGAGCACAGCGCATGAAGTTGTAAATATGTGGCTGAAGAAGACCACAGACAATGAAGGAAACCATCACAAAAAAGAGACTGTGGGGGCTGCAAGCAGCAATGACTGCTAAGAATTTGCCTTGAGTTTCAGAGATGACTTTGGATTTGGACTTTTCAGCACTGTTGAAACACACTTTGGCAGCTCTTAGAGATATGCTAATGTATTTTGCATAAAAAGATGGACATGTGTCTTTTCAGGCCAAAGTGTGGATGTTAACAGTCTAGATCAAGAATCTCTCCTCAAATGCTTCATGTGCTCTGAGGTTGGGTCTTGGGGAGTTACTGTATCATGTGAGCACTATACTCATCACTTAATTAACAAATTCACAATGGGGCCATAATTTATATGTCCTGCTGCCAGGCGGTTCTAAACCACTGGTAATACATGCATGACTATCCCATAAAGAGGCATGGGATAGTCCCATTGGATAGCATAAATTGCCCAATGAGAAAGTCATACATGTACCACCAATGGTATAAGCTGCCTAGTGGGACAGTGATACATGCACCACTGGTGGTTCAAGCCAGCAGGAATGTGTTAATACACTGACAAATTCAAATGCACTGTTAGGATGTGGAGTCTCATCTGAAGAGGCAGGTCACTAGGGGTATGATCTGGACAGGTGTATCTTCCTCCCAGTTCTTCCCCCTCTCTGCTTCCTGACTGCCATAATGTGAGTAGCTTTACTACCTGCACTTTCTACTATGCTGCTTTATATTTGGCAATCATGGACTGAAACTTGTAAAACTAGAGCCACCATAAACCTTTCATCCTATTTTTTTTTTAATTTAAAAAAAAGAAAAATAAACACTAAAAACAATGATATAAAATTTCAAAACAAGATTGTAGGACAATAACAGTGGTTATTACATTGTGTATTGTTACCTTCAAAGCAGTTGCTCATATTACAAGATACAGACATGAAAAACTGATCAAACATTATAGGCATAAACCTTTCTTTTAAATGAACTACTAGCAATTAGTAGTACAACTAAACTTATATATATATATATTTCCTTTTCCGTTCCTTCTTTTCTCCCTTCCCTATTCTAGTTTCTCTTTCCTTTTCAGCAGTTTCTTCCCATTTCACAGTGACTATTGTACATTTTAGACTTTACTTACTTTTTCAGCTTCTTATACTAGAGAGACAATATGATGTTTACACATGTCTGATTTATTTCACTTATGAGTATGGCCTCAAATTGCATCCATTTCCCTATAGATGTCTTCAAGTTTATCATTCTTTATATCTGAGTAGTACTCCATTGTATAAAACTACCATATCCGTTTTATCCATTCCTTGGTTGACAGGCATTTGGGTCATTTCCAAGAAACCTCTCATGCTTTAATTTATGGGCATCAAATATTGTGTTTCAGTGATGAAAATAGTGACTCAGACAACATTATATTCTCTATTATGTTGCTATGGTACTCACAGGCAATAGTTATTCCTAACTAGATGGTAAGTTAATTCTTCTTTTTTTTTTTATGTTTTATCCATAGCATTTTAGAGATTAATAAATTCTTGCTTAGAGTATTAAGATTAATTTGTGATCAAGGCATCAAAAATAGAATATTCTTTAGATAATTTATATTGATGAGTTATTAATTTTAATTTTATGAGTTTTATTAAACAATGAGTACTTAAGAGGAAAAAAGTCACAAGAATAAAGTATTGAGTTTTTAATATTTATTGAGTGCTTATAAAAAAGCATCAAAATTTTCACTATTGACTGGTTTTTGGTGTAAAAAGTCCCAAAAGAACATCAGAAATATATTCCCATATGAACTACAATGAAAATACCAATTCCACTCTACAAAAATAATAATCTTTACTTCAATCATCACACCTATGGCAGTCTGCACACATGACAACAGTATGTTCCATACACATGTATCGCTTACACTGACAGCATACATCTTTTGATTTCTTGGCCTTTTTGCAGAACATACTTGACACTTCAGCAGTCTTGTTTTGTCAGGAGGTTCTTATATTACACAGCATGTAATTAACAGGAACATAAATGTCAATAAGATAAATTATTAAATCCTTAATATGTATTGTGCATTTACAATAGACATCAACATTTTCACAACAGCTGCTCACTTCCTTACAAAACCTAAAAGATAACATCAGAAATAAATTCCTATGTGAACTACAATGAAAATGCCAACAGAACTCTACCACAAAAATAAGCTTTGCTTGAACTCTCACACCCAAGTTAGTCTTCACACATGACAACTGCATTTCCATGCACACGTCTTGCTTACACTGACAACATGTGTGCTTATGTTTCCTTTCCTATGTGGCAGTAGTCTTGTCACCACTCTTCCTGTTTTGTCAGGAGCTTCCTACTAGATTGTACAACATGCACTTAGCAGGGAATTAAGATGTCATTAAAATACAATATCAAATATGTAATAAGTGCTTAGTATACACATCAATTTTCACATCAGCTGTTCAGTTGCATACAAAACCTAAAAGATAACATCAAAAATAAAAAGCTATGTGAACTACAATGTAAACACAAACAAAAGTCTACCACAAAAATAAGCTTTGCTTCAACTGTCACACGCAAGGCAGTCTTCACACATGACAAACTGCATGTTCTATATACAAGTATTGCTTACACTGATAGCATGCATGTTTGTTTTCCAGTACTTTCCTGTAGGGCACAGTTGACATATTTTTTATGTTCTGTCGTCATAGTAGGTCTCTGTGATACTGCATCTGCCTGTTCACCTGTCAGCTCAGCAGTGTGCTCCACAATTTTTTTGTGTAGTTCCCTGGGCAGAAACATTTTGTTTTTCTTCTGCTGTAAACGATCTCGTATGAGCTCAAGTCTCAATCTTCTAATATATTATTTTTATTATTTTTATTTATTTATTTTTTTTCTGGTACCAGGAATTGAACTCATGACCTTGCGCTTACCAGGCAGGCGCCATGCTGCTGAGTTAAATCCCCAGTCCCCTCAATCCTCTAATAAAACCAAATTCTACCACAAAAATAAGCTTTGCTTGAACTGTCACACCCAAGGTAGTCTTCACACATGACTACTGCATTTCCATACACATGTCTTGCTTACATGACAGCATGTGTGCTTAGTATGTGGCAGTAGTCTTGCCACCTGTCTGATCTTCCTGTGTTTTGAGGAGCTTCCTACTATTTTGCACTTGTTATTTTCTTTGTAAACTGGCAAACTATTTATGCCATATATGTTTAGGATCAAGTAAAACACAACCACTGGCCAATGCTTTGTGTTTCAAGTGACATCATAGTTGGTACATAACTCATCAATAACATCTACTTCACGTTCAGTTTTGTTGTTGAAAGTTTCTATCTTAGGTTTCCATTTTGTTGAGGTTTCCCCATCAATATTTCCATCGTGGTGAAATGTTGACATCAGTAGTACCAGTTTGCTTTTCTTTGTCATATACGAGGCCAATGTTATATCTTTCTGAAATCCAAAACTTGCACTATACAATTTTCTGTTTGAAATGGCAACCTTTCATTTGGAATTTCTGCTTTGTTCCTGTATACAGTTCTTGTGCTGGTCAACTTGTGCTGTTAGCAAATGTAACATCAATTGGAAACTGGTAAACCAATGGTCAAATGTCACATTCTGATTAGTTTGGGAGATGGGAGCAACAAGTCTGCCCACAACATCGCTCAGTTTATGGCTACATGAATAAGGGCCTAATGGCTGAGTTCCAGGATAAATGTCTAAATTGAAAGCATAATAAATCCTCATATCTACAAGCACATACATTTTTATGCCATATTTGACCATAAGTCTTTTTCATAAGTCTTTTACATTCCTGTGATGACTGTGAGAAATCTGTGCAAAGTACAGCAGACCTATGAATGCTTTCAGTTCAGCTAGTGAGGTGTCATAATAAATACATTTTGAATATGTCTATTGGTGCATACAGAATATTTTACTTGCATTTCAGTCTTTGTGTATTTCACAGCATTTTGTAGCATTTTGGCTGTTACAATTTCCAACACTGAATGGGAGTGCTGGCATTTTGTCCAATATGTTTCACCCCTGCCAACACTTCACTATATTTTCAGACCTAGTTCTAACATTGGATTGTTCCATTTGGTTGTACAGCCATTTTGTACCATTTCAACTTGTCAAATATGTACTCACATTGCTGTTTTCTTCATCATCTGAATTAAGGAAGTCTGCATTCCCTGTGTCATTATCAGTCAACTCTCACTCCATTTCACTGTCACAGGATCTTTAGCTCACATGGCCAACATCAAGATCACCATCATCATCATCATCATCATCATCATACATCCATACCACTCTTCTGTTATGAAAGCATTTATTTTACCATAATGGATCATTTTCATCATCCATACATGAGTAATCTCATGATTCACTCTGACATCCTCCAAAACTTGAAAATTTGGTTTTTCATGTGCCATTATACTGAATTGGGCTACTTCTACCAGAAAAATAAAAAGAAAACTTTTCCTTTTAACAAATCCTGGACTGATGTGGGTCTACTTTGTGATGCTTGGGTAAACCTATGCAAAACCATTTGGATGGGCATAAAGGTGGGTCCAAATCCCACTCTGATACTTTTGTATATGTGCATACTTCCTGCCATTTGTCATACCAACTGAGTAAACACATAGATTGTTTCCTGTACACCCCTGTGAAAGGCACTGAGATGTACAGCTGGCTACTATAATGTTAAAGTACAAATTTATAGAACAAAAGTAAAGGATGGGTATGCTGCACCCAGGCTTACACTTGGAGGGTTGGAATAATTATGAGGATATTATTTTGGCTTTATTGGTAATCCAAGAAAACCTATATACTAATGATTGCATCTTCCAAGAACAGAAAATTAAACATTAGAATTCCCTTATAAAATCTTCAGAATAAACAGAAGAGTGGTATGGATGGATGATGATGATGATGATGATGATGATGATGATTTTGATGTTGGCCATGTGAGCTAAAGATCCTGTGACAGTGAAATGGAATGAGAATTGACTGATAATGACACAGGGAATGCAGACATTAGAAATTTCCTTATAAAATCAAGATAATGAAACATGTAAAGGCTCCTTAATTTATATATTGACCTTACACGTTAGATGACCATTTAAAATATTAAAATATAATGCATGATACAAAAGATACTAGTAATTCCCATAAAATATCACATAACTCAATCCCTTGCAGCAAAACAGATATTCCTAAACATATATAAATCACTCATATTACCTATATACTGATAGTGAAAAGATAAAAGGAAAAAAACCCCAAAAACTGCTAAAACTCTTTAACGCTGGCAAGAGCAGAAAGGTTTTAATTAATGATATTAGTAAACTACATATAGTCATGCAATATAATCTTCTGGTGTGACAAGTTACAGGTGATGCACTTGGTTTCGAGATAATTATTATTAATATCCCATTGGTCCTTCTTTGTCAAAGTTGATAAAAGTTTCACTAATGACAATGGAAACAGATTTAGTCTACCACCTTAGAATCCCTGATTGTTGCACCATAACTTCAGGAGGCTGGGAGAATGATTGGTATTAGTATTCCAAAGCATTTGCCATCTGCTAGGCTACAGTAAATGGAGTGGGAAGGAAAACTTCTCAAATACGAGAGGATACTATGAAATAATTAAACATAATAATGGACTGCTGAGAAATTGAGCTATCTGAAAAGGGCATAGTCAAGACTGTCAAGACTATCATTCCCAGGTCTGACAAGCTTCTGTAACACATCAATCTTTCAATAATATTACAATGACAATTGTCAAGGGACTGCCATAAACATAAGATTATTAATTGCAATTTTGTATTTATGGTATAATATTTTCATTTCTTTAGAATTAAAGTAAGGAGAAACTTACCTTGCAGAATTTGACTTCTGCCTCTAAATGATGAATGTATTGAGACTGGTCATTAATAATAGGAACAAGGTTGTGCACAGTAGGCATATGGGTTTCCTCATATTCTGATGACCTCTAAGGTAAAAAAGCCAAATTAAGCATGTTTGGATTTATAACTAATCTCTACACTCAATAGAGCAGTAATGTGCTAAAAACATAGACTATATCACAATGTAGCCAATAGTATTCATTTCTCTATTCTGTAAATTACACAAATATACAAGATCCAGGGATATGAATATCATTTTTAGAGATGGAAAGTGAAAACAGTTATAAAAAGCACATGGCAAATGGAAAAATGCTGGAGTGGCATAACTGCCTTGGAATGAACAGCCTATTTGAACTATCTGACAATGTGATGCTCCATTAATAATTCTGAGATAAAATAGCCAACTCTAAGAAACTGCCCGGGAAAAAGACTGCTAGTTGAAACTACAGATAGTACAGATAGTTGACTAAAAAAGAGACTCAAGCATTTGATGCCAAATGTGTCAATGACATAATATTCCATCTGAAAAGCATTCATTAGAAAAATATGTTTTGCTTTTCGTCTTGCTTTTGACACTAGTACTCAAAGGATTTTGAAAGTATGTTGTTCTGGAGCCCAGAACTGGCAGGACTAGAGCCCTAAAGCACAGACATACATAACTTAGGGACTAACAGCAGATCCCAATGAAGAGATTCCAGAAAAAGTTCTAAGGGTGTTTAGCTCTGCAGCATGTGTGGGAATTATTTTCAATGTATACTTTTCCTTATCTTATAATGATTGTGAAATGATTTATAAGATTATATATCATACTATAATTTTTAAGGGAAAATCTGGAGAAAAAAAAAAGGGGGAAAATGAGAGCAAACAAGTAAAACCTAGAGGAAAGCTTGAGACAAGACAGTCTCTGTTTCTTAATCAGTCTCTGTTTGTTAATCATTCTGCTTCTCAGTCCAGAATGATGTTCACAAATAACTGGCATATACTTTGGTATTCTTTGAAGGGTTTATTATTATTTTGATAGCCACATATTAAAATAATAAGTAATAATGCCCAGATTCTAAACAAGAAATACTAGCTCCACAGCAAAACAGCTACATTTTTGCTTTTTTGATTTATTTCAGAAATTTTAAAACCAGAGTAACTTTATCTTTAAAAATTACTTATTTATTTTTGCAGTACTGGTGATCAAACTCAGAGCCCCGTACATGCTCGCCAAGAGCTCTACTATTGAGCTATCACACCAACACCGATGTAACTTTAATTAAATGAACCGCCTGTGCTGAGTAGAAAGCAATTAATTGTAATCATTTTACATTAGTAGAAATAAGTCTAGATGGTAGACAAATATGGTCAGTCCTCCATGTCTATGGGTTCTACATCCATGGTTTCAACCAATTATGGACCAAAAAATTTGAAGAAAGCTTTACACAGACTTTTGTTTCCTTCTTTGATCATCATTCCCTAAGCAATATAGTATAACAACTATTGACATAGCACTTACATTGTATTATGTATCACAACTAATCTAGAGGTGATTTAAAATATATAGGAATATGTATACAGGTTACATGCAAATATTTTGTCCTTTTATACAAGGGGCTTGAGCATACTATAGCGATTGAGAGATAATTGGGTTACTATGCACATATACAAGCAAGTCAAGTTGAAAATTAAGTATGCTAAAGCTAATCCTAAGTGGAAAATGTTTACAAATAATTGGTATATACTTTGGTACACCTTGAAGGGTTTATCACTATTTTGATATCCAGATATTAAAATAATAAGTAATAATGCCCAGATATATTTTCCATCTTAGAAATGACTCACTGTCACTCTCAATACACTCACATATTTCCATAGCTCATACTGGTTATAAATGTATATTTTAAAGGCACAATTCTTAAAAGCTACTTATTATTATTATGGTTTGTAATCATTACAGGTAGCCTCTACACATTTAGAATCTAAACTCCATTATTTTACATATTTTCATGAAAACAGATCTGTGCAGTTGAAAAGTACAGTAGACACTATGTGTGTACTAAATGAATTCTCTTGATGAATAGAATTCTGATTCAATGAGCTCCATAATACTACTGCTCAGTTTTATCTTTAAAATGCTAATAAGCATGTATGCAAATTCAACAGATACAGCAACTTTATCTAGCACACTTGAAGGCACGCCACCCTCTGTGTGCTTAAGAGCATTCTATAAACCAGACTGCAATAGTAATAAATCCATTGAATGAAGCAATATTTTGTTAAAATTATAATCTGTATCTACAAATATTGAATATGTGCATTTTTTCTATGCTTTTCTATAAGTAAGAATTAATCATAAAAGTATGTGTCAGGCTGAAGTTAAGTGCTAATAAGGTTTACTGTTATGAAATTTCAGCTGTGAATAAAGCAAAGTTATTCCAGCATGTAGATTTTGTATTCAACTATCACACACATTGATTTTGCTGTTGTAGCACATATTTGTGTCACAGTTCATAGGTTTCTAAAGAATTCTATGTATGTAATCTTACTTTATTGCAAAATTCCTGAGAGATCAGCCCAAATCCTTCCAGAGAGTATATTAATAGGCACTGTTTACACTTAAGGCCCAGTCTATTATTCTAACCTAGCCCAGAGTTCTATCCCTCACATCTATCCTATAGTATATAAAATGTTTTAATCAGGAATGATACACTGTGTCAAACCAATAAAAACGTACCTCAGAAGAAATAGAGCATTATTTCTTATACACTGTTTTACAACTACATATCTTAACATGTAGAATAGCATCACATACTCTAGTTTGAAATTCAAAATAAAAATGTACTATAAGGCGGCTGCACTAAAATAATAATTAACTTGAAAAATGACTAAATATAGATATGATCTCTAAAAAAAGAAATTACTGGGCTAGGAAATGTAGCTCACTGGTACAGCACTTGCCTACATGCACAAGGCTCTAGGTTCAATCCCAGCACCATAAATATTCAACATTATTCTTTTAAATGTATTGTCCCTTTTCTATATTTCCAACAGTTGTGAAATAAACTGTTCTGTTGCTGACATTTTTTTTTTTTTTTTGGTTTTTGGTTTTTCTCTGGTACCGGGAACCGAACTCACGACCTTGCGCTTGCCAGGCAGGCGCTTTTGCCGCTGAGCTAAATCCCCAGCCCCGCTGACATTTTTTAAACAAATAATAAATTAAATATAATGAATTAAAAGTCAAATTAGAAATATGTTCCTTCTGCAATACAAGTCTTTTCTTTAATCAAAATAATCAGAGGGAAAATAAGTTCTTCTAATGAAATCTACTATTACATGTTCTAAATTGTCTACAACACACATGACAAAACACACTTAGAAAACTAATGCTTTACCTACCAAAGGGGACATTTTTCGTCTTCTTGATGGAGATATCTCACTTTCCTTACTTGCTTGTTGACGCAACAAAGCTTTGAGCTGATTAACTACACAGAAAAAACAAATGTGTTGTTAACCCTGCTTGATCCATGGTTTTTGATAGAGTTTAAACCTGAAATGTCCCTAAAGGCCCACATGTCAATGGCTTAGGCCCCAGCCTCGCACTACTGGCAGGTGGGAGAGCCTTTAAGATGTATGGCCTAGTGGGAAGTCTCCCAGTTACTGAGGGTGTTGAGGTTAGGGTAAAGCTTCAACTTGATTAGCTTTGGATCTTCTTTGGTGGCTGGTGCAGCACACGTCTAGGTGTGTTTCGTTGGGAGAGCGGCCTTGAGGTCTGTGTCTGCTCCTTCATCACTTCAGTTCTGCTCCCCAGCCACTAAGTAGCTTCGCTGTCTTGTGCCCTCCCACCATGATGCCTCTGAGGCAGCTGATCATGGATTAAAACCATGAGCAAGTTAAACCTCTCTTCCTTTAAATTGGAGGGGTTGGGATTTTTGTTTCAGCCATAAGAAAGCTTACTAACATAGAAAGCATGCCTTTGAGGGGGAGAATGGAACCCTGGCCCCTTCCTCTTTTTCTTTTTCACTTCCTGGACACTAGACAAGTGGGTTTGTTCCACTAGTACTTCCACCATGATGTGCTGTCTTACCAGAAGTCCAAAGCAAAGGGCCAGTGAATCATGAAATGAGACCGTCAAAAGTCTGAGCCTAAGTAAACCTTTTCTAAGTTGATTTATCTTGGGTATTTGTTATATAGTGATGGAAAAGTGAGTAGTATTGATTATCTCCACCTCTCCTATAGCTATGTAACAAAGATTGCTTAAACTTCTCTTAGACATCAAGAACTGGGGATACAAACATAAAATATCCTACCCTCTAAGAACTAAGAATTAGCTAAGGCTGATAGAGCACACTTGTAATCCCAATACTCTGAGGCTAAGGAAAGAGAATCACAGGTTTGAGTCTGGCTTAGACAACTTAGGAATTTAGTGAGAGCCTGTCTCAAAAAAAAAAAAAAAAAAAAACTATCCTAGAAAATAAGGGTAGGGCTGACATTGGTACTCACCGGCATGGCTATGCTGCAGTTCGTGCCAGGCTGTCTCAGTGTCCTCATGCCCTACATTGATGCTAAAGGAAGGCTCCTGTGCTTCTTCTTCAACAGTATCATCACCTTCTCTCAGGGCACATTTTAGCTGGTGAATGCTTCTATTGGCACGCTCTGCAACAAAAATGTGATGAAACTCAGAGCCAATAAATGTGAGCAATCACAGGATACTTGCTCAAGAAGTTAGTCTCAAAAGAAGAATCTGCTGTTTCTGGCACTTTATGCATAAAAGCAGGGTTCGGTTTCCAGCTTGCTGGGGACTGTGCCAGAACAAGGGAGAGAAGACTAAGCTCAAGGGTTAGAGGTTAGATATGATGATCTCTAAGGTTCCTGTCATTGCAATTGTTGATTTCCTCTGTTTTTTGTTTTTTTTTTTTTTTTTCCTGTCATTGCAATTGTTGATTTCCTCTGTTTTTTGTTTTTTTTTTTTTTTTTTAAATGCTGGAGATAGAACCCAGGAATTCACATATGCTAGGTGAGTGCTCTAACACTGAGTGCCACTAGCAAACAAGATTGAAAGGCACAGCTCTCCCTGCCCTCAAGCAATGACCAACTCAGGGATATGCTCTCCTTTCCCTCTGCCTAAGTGTCCCTTATCCTTTGCCTAAAGACAAAGAAGTGAGTAGTCAAAACCAGCCAGAGGGATTCCCTCCTGTTAATATCTAGCCTAAGCCTCATTCTCTCTGAGGATGGGGACATCAGGAGACAACCCTCATCAGGAGACACTGAACTGCCTGGCCTAGTTTTGATCAAGATTTAAACAGCTGAAGTGCTCATGGTAGCAGCCCCTACTGTACAGGCCTCCTTATCCACTATTGGCTGACTATACTTCATGTATTGATTCCTGGTTAGTACAACTGACCATTCCTAGGATTGAGGCTGAAACTAATTAGCACATATATATGAAGTATGGTTGAAAAATATATTTAAATTAAAAAAAAATGTATTCTAGTAAAAGACACTTTGCCATTAATTTCCCTTCAAAATACTCCACCTCGCTTGGAACACACTTATTGCATTGTTCTTGCCACTTCCTGAAGCAGTTCCAGAAGTCCTCTTTGGTATTGTTAGATGCACAGTTGTGCCTCAATATACTGAAGTGATTCAAAATGTTTACCTTTCGTAGTCACCTTGACTTTGGAAGGGGCCAGTAGTCACACAGTGCTACATCTGGTGAGTTAGGTGGAAGAAGACACACCGTAATGTTTCTACAAGCCTGTCTTTCCATTGGATGGTACTCAGCAGCAACGTTCACCCTATTGTTACCACACTGCACAACGACCCTCATGAAAAAGGACTTCCAGAATTGCTTCAGAAAGTGGCAAGAATGATGGAATAAGCACGTCTGAAGCAAGGGGAAGTATTTTGAGGGGGATTAATGGGAATGTGTCTTTTAATTTAATAAATTTTTAAACATTTACTGTACTTTTTGATCACCCCTTGGGTGGGGTGATCAAAAGAACTCTACCTGTTCAAAGATCACCCCTTTAATCACCCCTTGAAATCTGAAGGGAAGGTTTTGTTTTGTTTTGTTTACTTTCCTCTTTTGTATTGGAGCTTTCACATTGAGCTATGTTCCTAGCCATTTTAAAATATATTTTTATTTTGGTTCAAACTTGTGATCCTTCTTTCTTAGCCCCCCAGAGTACTGGGATTGCAGGTTAAAATGAAGTATTTGAAGGTATACTCCTGTGATAGTTCATCTTTAAAAATAGCGTCAAGTACTCCGCCTCACTTTCTTGTTTCCTCTTAGTTGGATAATGATTATGCCTATAATTTGCATTAACCAATACAAAGCAGTGAAAGACATGTCATGCAGGACCTAGACTTCATCTTTAAAAGGCCTGGCCACTTCAGTTTCCTATGTTTTGAAATGCTTGCGTTTAGCTGGTCTCTTTGCTAGAGAGACCTGTGAAGAGGCTACAAGAAGAGGAGAGGCCCTGAGACTACCTGGACAGGACAGAGGTCCTGCTCCTCCTCCGCTCTTTGCATTCCCACCCTAACAGTCCTGTGTAGCCTCCAGAAGAAGACTGCAGCACCAGGCGCCATTTAAGTGTAATGGCAAAAAAAGATCTGATTAATTAACAGTCACATATGAAAACACATATATAAATATATATTTTACAGGACCTTGTAAAACAGATTTCATTTTCTCCAAACTCATTCATTTCAAAATTCAGAACAGATGGGAAAAAAATATAACTTAATAGAAAAAAATACTCCATGTTACAAGATATTTAACATACTTTCTTTACTTACAACAACTCACTTTCTATCTTGGTTAAAATAGAGAGACTAGGGGCT